CAGTGGAAGAACAGCACTGCACATTCCTGTGCTCCCTTGTGTCAGTTTTTAAAATGGTTCTTAACTCCTCTTCTGATATACTGTATTTTTCAGTGATTTCAGAGGGGATGTGAAAAGGGGAATTGTACAAATGAAAAGGATATTTTTGTTTTCATGTTTAGTATTTATTTTGGTAAAATGAGTATTTTGTTAAATTGTTTTGTTAAATTAAGGGAAAAAAAAGACAACTACTGTTTAACAAAGTTAAAGTAAAAATTGTCTTATTTCCCTAAAAGGGCTATTTCTATTAAGCAGGCACAACTTAACAAAATAAAAGAGTTCCTGTGCCTCAACACAATACCTCTCATTATTTGCTGTGTACTGGCAAAGTGAATAATTGTTATTTTCATGCACCCCATTATTGGTTGGTTGTGAGGAGTGTTGATTTGTATAAGCTTGGCTTAACCATACTAAATGGGCATATAGCCCTGTTCCCCATGACCGCCGTGCATGGGACCGGACCTTGGTCTGATTAAAAAAAAAAAAAAAGTGAACCTACAGCATTTCTAGTTGAGGACCACTGATATATACAGACAGATAGATAGATATAAATAAAACATTTCCGATCTGCTTTCGGGACGTACCGAAGCCCATCCGAGCTGTCTTCAGGCAGTAGTAGGCGGGAGACACCCTGAACTGGTTGCCAGCGATCGCAGGGCAAATATCCAGGCCAGGCCACCATTTTCAACACTGCTTGTCCTGAACAGGACTGCAGAGGGGTGCTGGGGCTAACTTTGGGTGAAAAGCAGGCTACATCCTGAACTGGTCGCCAGTCTGTCGCAGGGCACATATAGAGACAAGCAACCATTCACACCGTCACCATTCACGAACCAATCCCACATTGCCCACACACAAGTCAGGCGAGTGAAGCACTTGTGAAACACGACAGCATCAGTGTCTCTATTTTTATACATTTGGATATATGTATATATATATATATATATCAGGGATGTGTCCAAGGACCGGCAACCCGAGGCCAAGGCCAAGGCCAAGGCCAAGGCCAAGGACTTGCCTCCGAGGCCA